ACCTCCTGTATGCTGACCTCCCCATATCCTTATGAATTATAATTATAATAATAATTATTATTTATTATTATTTTTAAAGGAATAAGCACAACACAATGAATAGCGAAAATTTAGCCGGTACTGGGAGCAAATGCGCGCGCGACTAAGCCAGTCCTTACTGAGTGGCAGCCTCAACCACGACCGGACGATAAAGTGTTAACAAGATCGACGAATGTTCCAAAACTATATATTATTTTCTGCATTTTTTAATATCCATATGATTTTATATTTTAAAGAGAAGAAGAAATGACAAATGTCTCCGTAGCGGAGCCTTCGGAGCGCTCAGGGTTAAATAATAAATGTAAAAATCTAGTTTATCCGTTGTTTCGGATCGATGCCCGTTTCCTACAAAACAGTGAAAAGCGGCTCGATTCGAAATGAAATTGTAATGACGCAGGATAGAGTCGATTTCACGTGACAAACTCAGAATCCGAGCCTACATTTTCTCCCGAGATATCTATCGTCCGAGAGCCCAGCGCGCGGCGTCCATCAATCCTCGCAGCGGGAATTGCAATCGATATCGCGCGAGTCTTGAGCAAACTGTATCAATGTTCGTTAAGGTTAACTCGCGCAAATTGAATTTGCAGTTACTCGGAGGCGACTCGGAATGCAATTTTGAAGAAGCAGTAGGACCATATGGTGCCGCGCGCGGAACGGACCTAAATTGCGTGAATTATTCTCCCGTGGGTTCGATTAGAACGTCGTCGTGTCGTCTCTCGGCGGCGATCGACGCGAATAAAAGGCGGCTCTCAACGGGAACAGGGGTCCGCGATGGATAACATCGCATTATCACCGCGGAAAAATCTGTGAAATTCACCGTGATCAATTTTTCAGTTTCATAGTAAGTTTGATTGCTGCCTGTTGGCCTGCAAAAGCTTCCCTACCGAAGAAACTTGTGCACGAATAATGCTCGCCGTTTGATTAATGATAGGACCGGCGCGGCGGTATCGGCGCCGTGCTATCTCGCTAGATGGAATCACAATTCGACCTAGCCGGAATAGGTTTAATCAACCTTTTCATTACCGGTGGGTATAGCGCGGTCGCGGTTTGATAGATCGTCCGTGCGTCGAAGGTGACGACAATCTTTTAGTCGTCGCCCTCAACTATGAAACGCGCGAGTCGGCCGAGCGAGTCGGCCTCGGTTTATGTAAATTCTCCATTGAACCGACAGAGATCGTTCCCATGGTTTCCAGGCGGATTGACGAGACGTTCGTTCGATGCAAATGAAAATGTTACTGCGGAACTCAGAGAAACTCGACGGGCTTCGAGAGGACGGCTGATCAACAAGGAACGAGGAACGCATAAAGGCGACACGCAGCCTTGTCTGTTCACGATAGATCAGAAATTCTGCGGCCATTTCTTTCTGGATACCGTGGAACGGTTCCATCGCGAAGCTTCGCGCGAAGTCAGAATTATCCACGAATTATGTAATTTGCCAGAAATTGAAGTTTCATAGAAATTGATTATTTTCGTTCGTAGTTTTATAACTAGACCATTACGAATTGTATGCATTTATGGCAAGAATGAGTAAGTCGAATGCGAAACTGTAACGAGATTCGACACAAATTTAAGGATTTTATTTTATTTTATTTTCAACGTACTGCAATTGTTGAAAAAGAGGCTTCATTTCCTTCGAATTTGTCACGATAGAGTGACCTAAGTGCTGCAACAGTTTCGATGAAATCTGTTAGAAAGATTTCCAAAATATTTGTATATAAAAACTCTAAGCCTCTAAATAATATATTTCACAGTGAGATGATTTCGCATACGATGATTTCTGCAAGCGATACAACGACGAAGAGGAAGTACATTTTCATTGCGAGTCGAACGAGGAGACAATGTCATTTGAATAATGTCTGGAGCACTGCGATACCACGGGCAGAGACGGATCGAGTCGACGGAGGCGTTGCAATTTCCTCCGAGGAAAGCTTCTTTCTATCCTTTGATTGTGCCGCGAAACTCCCAGAGCAATATGAATAATACGTCTTCCGAGATGCGATGCATCTTGACTTAATAACAGAACACCGCGATCCATCGGGATCGAACGTTGCGTAATGAAATAGCAAGTGCAGGTTATAGCGTGCATTGTGCACACGTCAAAGAACTAATAACACAGAACGTTGCTGTAAATATGTTTTAGACTGTTTCTCGTGCAATCTTCGACGACGTTATTAGATGAATGCCGGACTTCACCGATCGAGAAACTGACAATTCATTTGTGTTTGTGATAACTGGACTGCGAATTTTTATGGAAACTAAGAATAGCCTTAATTAATTAGAATATGTCGCAATTACGTAGGCATTTATTTCTTGTCTTGTATCATTCCAACGAGTTGACAGTAATACAACAACATTTTCAAACTGTATAATTCTTTTGCAATTTTGCATTTACTGCTAATTATACAAAATCTTTGCTACTTTGCATTCGATCTATTCATTTTCGTCGTAAATGCATAAAATCTAATGATAACTGAATTTCAAGGTTAAATTTGACGTGTTAAAATTGACCTGTATTGTGCACACTTCAAAGAACTAATAACAGAACGTTGCTATAAATATGTTTTAGATTATTTCTCGTGCAATCTTCGACGACGTTATTAGATGAATGTCAGACTTTACCGATCGAGAAACTCTGACAATTCATTTATGTGTTTGTGATAACTGGACTGCGAATTTTTATGGAAAATAAAAATAGTCTTCGTTAATTACAAGATGTCGAAACTATCATTCCAACGAGTTGACAGTAATACAACAATATTTTCAAACTGTATAATTCTTTTGCAATTTTGCATTTACTGCAAATTATACAAAATCTTTGCTACTTTGCATTCGACCTATTCATTTTCGTCGCAAATGCACAAAAATCGCAGTCTAGTGATAACTGAATTTCAACGAAAATATAACATAAACTCTTATTCAATATTCATAGGAATATTGAATAGACAATAGACAATATTTAAAAGGTTCGTTAGAGTCAGTCGGTACAGTAATGTCTCCCTAACTGACGCTCAGATTGTGCACAAAAAATGGACAATTTGGGAAGAGGAGCTACGATTATTCGAGCCTTGCGGCTCGTTTTTATGCTTGTTAACAATTCGTAACTATAAAAATGAACCGCGACGATCGAACAATCGTATCTTCTCTTCCTAAACTGTCCATTTTTGTGGACAATCTGAGCGTCAATTAGAGAGACATTACTGTACAGCGCTGAATTGTAAAAAATAAACTAAGCTAATAAGTTGTACGTAACATGGATGTATCCTCCAATCCTTCTAATTGTCTTTACCGTTTTATATCCGGCTCGGTGATTTTTGCTAAAAGTGCATAAAACGCGCGGCAACAAAAATCTGTATAAATAAGTAATAAAGATACGAATATGTTGCCGACGCTTTTCGGTAAATCGGCCGCTACAGGAACGGCGCGCGGCGCGGTGTACCGTAGTTTCCGCGAGCGATTATGCATCGTTGAGAAGAGAACGCTATCATCTTCACGGGCAATGGGATCCCTTCGACGGTTATGGTCGGCCGAAGTATCGCGCGAGAAATGAAACCGAGCGGTATGTGCACGCGCGGTTAAATCGGTGGAGCGTATTTATAAAGCGGCCCATAATGAAGCAGTTATGATGCTGACAGCAGCGCCGACGCGAACCCGCTGTTCGCGAACGTTGCCCGTTGCCGGAGCACCGGCCAATGAAAAATCGGGCCCGAGCACTTTTCTTTTCCAATTATTTCGCCGGCTCCGGTCTTAGAAAGTGATGTTTCTAATTTATGGAGTTATCGCGGTCCGGGCAACGATCAATTAACCTCGATCGCCGGTTCAGAAACCTGTTCGGCCCGTACGACACTTGTTCGAGTTTTCTCGGCACGTTTACACTAATCCGATGGACGCGTTAACTGGTCTGCGATTCGGCTCCGACCGATTTAATTGTTCGGAACGTTGCGCAACCAATCGTTAAACCGCGGAAGTTTATGGCAACCGGCATTTCTCCGCGCCGGTTCGCGAATGCGGGAAGCGTTCGCGGGACCTATTTCCTTCACGACGAGTTTTTGCCGAATCCAAGATCACAGAAATACCTTTATCGGGACCGTGCACCATAAACATACAAGGTCTAGGGCTTTTCTAGAAGCAATTTAGCGGAGCATCCCGCTTACGGTGCACATTTAAGATTTTACAGAGTGAACAAAAAGCTAAAGAAATTACGGGTTTATGGTTTCTTGGATAATCATGAATCGATGTACCAACCTTCCAGGCATCGAAATATGCGCTGGAACAATAATGTTTGCAATTGTTGCACGTTTTGAAAAAGGTTGTGGACACTGATACAAGGATTAGGTGTACTATTTTATTACGAGATCGGATTTATCTAAACTTCGTAAGATATTTATTGTCACGCATGCTTGAATTAGGAGATTCGTCGGAGATTGTTTGACAAACATGTCTACATGGTGTCTCAAAATTATTGTACAAGCGAGAAATGAGTGGTTCCTGAGGTCATTTGAAGCAACTTTTTCCTTAGCGAAAATGCAATCCGCGGCTTCGTTCACGAGTTATTAACGAAAAACGCTGGCCAATGAGAGGCGAGATTAGCTTGCGCGAGGCGGCCGAGCCAATCAGCGGAACTGGACGTCGACGGCTCGTTGGCTCGGCCGCTTTGCACCAACTGATCTCGCCTCTCATTGGTCACTGTTTTTCTTCGATAACTCGTGAACGAAGCCACGGATCACATTTTCGCAAAGGAAAAAGTTACTTCAAATGACCTCAGGAACCCCTCATTTCCAGCTTCTGCAATAATTTTGGGACGCTCTGTATAATGTCGGTAACTCTAAAAGAAATAAGCAGAATCGGATCGGTAACGTGAATCGGTGCAAAACTCAAAAGATCGAGTCTATCCGAACGCAATAGTTCCACTTGTTATGTATGAACTTTTGTTAACCGTGTTCCTCGTCTATCTCTGTCGACAGGAGGAAATCGGCGAGATCATCGAGTCAGCGCCGACCACACCGTTGACGATCGCGGACGAGCCGAAGTATCCCACGCAAGCGTCCGTTCTCGGCGTCCAGCCGGCAAGGTTCGCGCAGGACCTGTACGGGACGAAGCCTCGTCCGTCGACGGGCTGCGGCGTTTTCCGGCGACAGAACTCCGTAGGCAGATGCTGCACGTTCACGGACGACATCGGCGATTGGTCGAAGAACATTCTGGCGGAGCTGAACACAATCATCGCGAACGAAATCAACGAGCTGAGCAAAGAGAAATCGCGACAGGAGCCCGACCGGCGTCGAAACAAGGAAGACTCGAGGATCGTGCAGTACAAGGAGCTGCTGAACGAGTTCGGCATATCGGACAGCGAGAGTTCCGCGGGAAGCTCGTGCGAGACGAGCACCGATCGATCATCCGGCCGGCGAAACAAGGAGAACCGTGATCGACGAAATGGAAAGTTGTTCGCGGACGAGACGGAGTACCGCTTCCTGTTGAACTCGGACTACGACGAGCCGCGGGATCGAGTCGCGCCGTCGCCGACGCCGACGCCGACGCCGACGCCGACGACGACGACGTCGACGGAGGCCGACCGTAGAAAGAGCGGCAGTCTACCGGGCAACCTGCAGGGCCTGATCGCGAGGCGGGACCGATACGGGTCCGTGGACGATGACGCCCTGAACTCGGACTACGACGAGCCGAACGATCTCTCCCCGATGAGCTTGATGGGGAACCAAATCGACCGGAACAGCGCCAGCCTACCCTCGCAGCTGGACCGCGGACACGAGCGGGAGGCGTCGAATTACCTGGCGAACAGCTACCACCAACCAAAGAAACTCGTAGAGATAAGTTCGAGGAGCAATGACGGCGTCGCCGACGCGCCTCTCGCCGGAGGGCCGCCAGTCGTTGGCGAGTCGAACGCGAAATTGCCGCCGAGGCAGCGGCCGGACGGCCACAGGAAGACCAGTCTGCCGTCGAATCTGATGATCCAGAAACGAAGGAGGACGCCGAGGCTGGCCAGGATACGCCGCGGCGAGGATCACGCGGATCCGGACCACGACCACGACCACGACCACGATTCCGAGCACGATCAAATCCCGATCGGGGCCGGGTCCTTCGAGAGCAACGGCGCCAAGTCGGCGCCGGTCACGCCGACCGAGGAGAAGAAGTCCCCGTTCTCGAAGCTCTTCTGGAAGAAGCACACGCCCGTCTTCCACGAGAACCGCGAGCACGTCGTCCTCGTCCGGGTCTCGTCGCTGCCGGACCAGGACTTTCTTCTGTCCGAGAACGAGCCGGCCAACGAAACGGCCGGCAGGGACGGGCTCGCGAAGAAGAGGGCCGTCTCGCCGCTGACTTTGCGCTCCGATGTATCGGCGAAACGGCTGTCCGAGTCCGATAAGGATATCAGGCAAATCAGCCCGGTCGATCTGAAGAAGTTCTCGCTCTCGAGATCGAGGGGCAACGACGTGGGTGTCAGCTGCGATCTCCCGGAAGATGACAATGTCGGGTCGGTTGACAGCGCCGATAGCGCCAAGTTCGAACGCATGGCCAACGCCGAGCACAAGAAGATAATGGACGAGCAGAATTCGAGATCCGGCTCGGTAAGTCGTGAGTCCAGATTTTTTTTTATCTGATTCCGGGGCCTCTTTGATCAATCGCTTGCGGAATTCTTGGTGGCGCGGTCACTTTTCGCTTCGACGGTTTCTACTCTTGCGTTTTCTTCTAAAGTTATTAAATTGCGCGATTTTGCGAATCTTGCGTAGGAGAATTATAATCTCTGTAGAAAATTGTACGCAATTTTATACAATCTGTACGATTTTTTATAAATCGTGTAGGAGAAATATTTTTATGGAAAATCAAGAGGAAACTCGGCATAGGGAACACAGAAAAATGTGTGTTTTTTTTTCTATAATTACAGTAATGTCTCCCTTACTGACGCTCAGGTACAGAAATGGACAATTTGGGAAGAGGAGATACGATTATTCGAACCTTGTGATTCATTTTTATAGTTGTTGACAATCGATAACCACAAAAAACGAGCAACAAGGCTCGAAAAATCGTATCTCCTTTTACAAAATTGTCCATTTTTCTGGACAATCTGAGCGTCGATTAGAGAGACATTACTGTATTTGCTTTCGCGTCTAAAGAGCAGAAGTACAGTAATGTCTCCCTTACTGACTTTTTATAATTGTTGACAATTCGTAACTATAAAAACAAACCGCAAGGCTCGAATAATCGTATCTCCTCTTCGCAAATTGTCTATTTCTGTGGACAATCGCAGCGTCAATTAGAGAGACATTACTGTAGCTACAAAGTTGGCACCGGATAATTTATTACCGGACTGCGGATCTTTATGCGGAACAACAAATTTATTATTTTATGTTCATCCATTTCTATCAGCGCGTAAACTCTGCGCAGCCAACTTATTAGCATTCGTCGGTTTTCTCCGTATTAAATATTTTCGTTTCGAACAACATCGTCCAACGCGACTCGCACATTCAACCGTAAACTAAACATCATAGTTTCCCGCGTGCACGCGATACGAATGAAAAAGCCAGCTCTGCGTAGTTAAAAGCGTCTTTGTGTAACTTACCCGTAGAAATCCATTGGCGGAATACTGAAGGTGGAATCTCTCCTCCGAGTAATGAGTCAATATACTTTCAGCTACCAATTTCTCTTCAGTCTCTATTATCGAAGATTCGAAATGGCTCTGGCTCGTGTTGCACGAACAGTCCACCTCTGGATTCGCTCACTTGTTCCGACATGGCCACGCAAACTTCGCCAGCTATTTCGAGAAGTTCGAGCTTTACGTGGGTCAGCGATTGCGAGTCACCTCGAGGTAAGTTTTCTCTTTGTTCACGGAGTGTCCTTATAACTTCCGCCATTCTTCCTCGACCATCATTATTCCAAGTTTCATTTCGTCCCGCAGCTCTGCGAACGGTGAATTTAATACGATTCGAACCAAGGTTCCGAAGAATGCCGTTTTTAAAGAGATTTTTTTCTAATTATTAACAACGATTTAGGAACTTCGATTTCTCAAGTTTTGTACTCGTTCTTTTTCTTTTTTATTGCAGTCGATCGCGACGCTAATCTTTCTCCAGTCTTCAAAATTCATTATTATTGTAAAATATTCGAACAAACCGAATTTTCTAGGATGCCTAGAACGTAAAAGATTTCAAATAACACTGACCATTGTAAATATTTAAAGTTTCAGTTTCATTGATTAAATTGCTTTGATTTCGTTAGGAATTTCTAGCGTTGGTTTTCGACGTTCAACGGTTGTTCAAGAGAAATTGAATTCCTCGCAGCTACTATAAAACATCCACTGAATTGTTTCGAGTAAACCGATATTCGAATCGCGTTTATTGCTCCGCGATTGTTGCACACGGATGAATTCCGACTGGTAGCTGACGCGGATTCGGATCGTCACCTTACAGAAGTCGAGGCGCGGAGGAGACCTAACCCCGACGTATACAAATTGTCTCATTCTTATCTTTAAATTGATGTTCCCAGCGGAATCGCAAATGGATTCTCAGTCGTTACAAGATGAAAGCACATTGGATCCAGCTTCCCCGCAAGACACCGTCGACGACGACAATAGATCCTCGTCCTCGTCGCAGGATCTGCTTCAGAGCATGGACGAGATTTCCTCCGGAAGTCTGTCGCCGGATACGACCGACAGAGCGTCTCCGCTTGAAAGTGGCATTGGCACTGCCAGTCCACCGAGGAGTACAGATCGACGGATAGTTAAATGTGAGTCGATAATCTTTTCTTGTAATGGAACTTGCCGCGTCCGCTAATCCTTTTAGTAAGCTGAAATTATGGGGAAACGATTTTTAAATTTTTCCGATGGTTTCGTTGTTTCGTACAGCATCTATTCATTCGTGATATAAATGCAGAAAATCTGTTATCTAATTCTAAATATAACATTAGTCACATTTGATTTAAAGGATCGTAGCATATTTTTCGTTGGTAATTTATCAGAAGTGCATAAGAAACGTTTTAATATAAATTTTATAGAACTTTATGTACTACATCTATGTGTACCGAAACATTGCATACAGACATATACGTTTTTTTTCACCTAATTCTAATAATTATTTACAGTTTTTATTCGAAAAATTGTAGAAATTATAAAGACTCTTTTATAGAAAATAATAGATCTGAATTCAAGAGTTACATTTTAATCGAAATGACGAAAAGTGCAAATAAATTCAGTATAGAATAAATTCGGTATATAATAAATTTAGTATATAATAAATTCAGTATATAATAAATTTAGTATATAATAAATTCAGTATATAATAAATTTAGTATATAATAAATTCAGTATATAATAAATTTAGTATATAAAAAATTCAATATATAATAAAATCAATATATAATAAAATCAATATATAATAAATTCAGTATATAATAAATTCAATATATAATAAATTCAGTATGTAATAAATTCGGAATATTATAATTCAGTCTTGTGTGATTTTTACGAGGTAACGAACGTCAGCCATTTTTAGCGGACTCGATAGGTTTAGCGCGAACTGAACGGAAAACAGGACGAAAGCCGTGGTTGCTGGAAAAGTCCTTACGGTCCATCTAATTTTTCGCAGCCCCGTCGTCGAACAAGTGTCATCGCAAGGAGACGTGGGAGAGGATCCGGCGGCGGCCGTCGAAATTAAATTCGCGGAACGACAAGCATCCGCAGGACGTGTGGATCAAACGGGAGAGCGTGCACACGCAGACGAAAGAAACCGACGACCAATATTCCCAGGACGCGGTGGACAGCAGCAGCGGCCTCGACGACACCCTCCCGAGGATGAAGCCCCTGAGGCCGACCAATCTGCCGCTGTGTGAGTTTCATTAACGTCCGCCGATCTATCGGCCCGCTAATGGGGCCCCTAAACACGCTGCTCGCGTCTCGATGCAAATTACGCGGCACGAAACCTCGCCATTTCAGCCGACAGTATTTTCCAAACTCAAACACCACTTTTGTCCCGTCTGTTTGCCAAGCAATTTAACCGGCCCCGGCGTCGGAAAAATTTCGTTGGTAATTAACGTGGCCATCCACGGAAACAGATGAACCGTATAAATATTCAAAATTCCGCGGGGAGAGAGTGCCGGAATCGAACGGACGCTGGATTTATGCGACGTCCCTTAATAGCCATTTTTCAAACCGTTCTGCAACGCTTTTCGGTCTGCAATTAATAGAATGCGGATCTTTCTATTTCGAGACAACAATTCTCCGCGCCGATCGCGAAAAGCAGCGGCCAGTTAGAATTTTTCTTCTTCTTTTAACAATTTTAATATAGTGGAAAATTATGCATCGACAAATTGCATCTTCGTACTATAGTAAATTCTCTCCAATTGCCACTCAGCTTGTAAACAGAAATTTGGGAAGAGGAAATATTATTGTTATTATTTTTGTAGTTGGCGATTGTCAACAACGATAAAAACGAACCGTGAGACTCGAATAATCGCATTTCTTATTTCTACATCATCCATTTTTTGTTCAGAACCTGAACGACAATTGAAAAGAATTTACTGTATTCTGTATTTTTTCTACTCGTTTTTACCATAAATGTTGAAAATCCGTAGTCTACTGATTATGAATTTATATATTTGCTAACGGCATTGGTATAATCGAATAAAAATGATATTACCTTATATATTATGATATACAGGGTGTCCCAAAATTATGGTACTTCCGGGAAATGAGGCGTTCCTGAGATCATTTGAAGTAACTTTTTCCTTAGCGAAATTGCAATTCGCGGCTTCCTTTACGAATTATTAACGAAAAACAGTGACCAATGAGAGGCGAGATCAGCTGCCGCGAGGTGGTCGAGCCAACGGCGCCAGCGGTTGAGCGGTCGAATCCCAGCTCAGCTGGCGCGAGGCGGCCGATCCAACGGCGCCAGCGGTCGAGCGGTCGAATCCCAGCTCAGCTGGCGCGTGGCGGCCGAGCCAACGAGCGCACGGAGTTCGGTTCCGTTCATGAATAATTCGTTAACGATGCCTCGGAGAAAATTTTTGTAAAGGAAAAAGTTGCTTCAAATCACCTCAGGTATATAATATATATGTGTATAATATATATATAATCACCTCAAATACCGTAATTTTGGGTCACCCTGTATAAATAATAATACATTCGACGATCATCGGGCTAGCGATGAAAATATTATTCTGATTCCGTGAGAATAATCTACAGTAAATCCCTAATTAACGCTTTGAATCGAAGCTTTGAAAACAAAAATGAACAATTTGAGAAGACAAGGTACGATTATTCCAGTCTCGCGGCTCGTTTTTGTCGTCGTTGACAATCGATAACTATAAAAACGAGCCGCGAGGCTCGAACAATCGTATCCCCTCTTCCCAAATTGTCCATTTTCGTGTGCAAGCCTGAGGGTCAATTCGGGAGAATTTATCGTGGAAATTTCAGAACGAATCATTTCGAATTCAGAATTCGGATGCCGTAATATACAATCTTCTACGCTATCTAATGTACCATTTTCCCTGTTTGTTTTTTTTGGCGGGGGTAGGTCTGTCCACAACAGCGAGCAGTTCGTTGAGTTCCGGGGAATTGCTGGAAACGCTGCCGCGCGCACCGTCTTCACCTTCCGCGGCCAGCCTTCAGCTGAAACCGGAACCCTTGGCCGTGGAGATGGGCGGAAAGAGCAGCAGCGCGCCATTATTGGAGAACAACGGCCCGGAGAAGCCGAACGGGAAGGTGCCAGTGAGTTTATTCGCTATTTCTCAACCGTAGTTGTATTATTCCGCTGTCGTACAGCTGTAACCAACCAGCGCGCGAGACTTGTTGCCGCGAAAATCGGATCACCAGATTCGCGGGAATAATTCCGCGAGCCCAGCTAGCGATCGAGCGACAATCTCTGTCGTTACGTAACCATTACCGCGGCCTTTACAATCCGCGAACACTGTAATCGCGTAAAATCCGCAGCGGTCCGCGCTCATGATAAATAACCGCTCGGTTCCGGATCGACTGACAACTGTCGAGCCGGTTACGAAGCAGCCGCGTGTCCCGGCGATGTTTCTTTAAATATCGATAACAAGCCTGCGCGTACGGCCACGGAGAGCACGAAGTTCGGAGGTTTAGCCGTGGAGTATCGTCCTAGCTTCAATAGGGTGCATTAATCACGTAGCAGTAAAGCGTGTATGGCATTTGGCATCGAGATAACCGAGCGCAGATACGTTCCACGGGACTGTTGCTCCGTTCGGTGATCCGCGCTTATGGGCCACCATTAGTCTCTGCCCACGTGAAGCGTGTACGTTGCGTGGCATTGACCATCGCGAACACGGTATTTGTATTTTACTCGGATGTATCACGGCGCGGCGAGTCCGTGTGGGCCGGCGCGGCGCGCGGAGACCATCGCTGGATTGACACTTTGTTGCCACGATCAACCTTAATTTCCCTTTCGTGACAGGTATCTCCACCTGCTACGCAGCCTCGAACGTCTCGCGGTCTCGCGAAACGGCATCGCCGATCAAAAACGTGACCCGTAATCGCATTCCGTTCTCGATAATCCCTGTAATCTCCCCGCTAGTTTCGGCAACCGGCGTGGCATGCGCAACAGTATAAATAGATTTCTGGTAATAATATGTTCACGCTTTCACTGCCACGCCAACAGTCTCGAAAATTTCACAAACTTAAAATATTTATATGTAGAGAATTTGTATGAAGAGAATGTAAGAGGATTTGTGGGGTCCCTTTCACGTTGTTGAGAACTCTAGGATGGAAAGGATAAACGATTTCGAGGGTGAACTATACGGTAAAAGACATTGATTTAAGCAAACGAAATATATTCGAAAAATTAGATCATTACAAACGAAGGAAATGCACAATAAAATGATGAAATGATACAGAATGTGATGTGTCGTGAAGCTCACGAGTGATACGATCAAGCGATCGAGCATGGTTACGAAGCTATAGCGAAAGTTGCAAGTATAATGGATTAACTCTTTGGACCACAGGATTTCAGAAAATAAAATAGACCCATGTTGCACCGAAATTTTATTGCGTTTTAAATTCAACAAAATTAGTATGTTTTTATTAACAAAGGAATCACATAATATAAAAACATAAAAAATCATAATCATTCAATTCAATTTGTTATTATAGGGTGGCACTCAAATAGTCCCACCATGCATTAAAGTGCATAAAAAATATGTTTATTAAATTATTATATAATTTAATCCCACCGTGCCCTAAAGAGTTAAGCGAAACTTGATTGCAAGCGTAACGAATAATAAGCTGCAAGCGCAGTGATACGTACAAAAGATTAACGTAACTATAGCTGATAACTGACGATAACTGCTAATTAACGTGATCGCGATGCGAGGGCCTTTATTTATGTCAGCCATCGGGTAGGAAAGGAAAAGGAGTGGTATTTTTGAATATTGGAAGGCCTAAGCAGCGCTGAACGCTCGTTACAGTGCACGAGGGCAATGCCCTAACGAACAGCGCTGCATGGAAACAACGGAAAATAGGCAAGGGATTCGATATTGGGATTATTGGAAGGACGGTCCAGGCGCGACAAATGCATCGACAATATAATCAAGGCGGCCGTTTTGTTTACATATTGGGGGTCGCTCACCTGGGCCGACTTCGAGCTCGAACAGCTGAGCTCGACGCTGTGTACAAGAGCTAACGTCGTGCGAGAAGCTCTAAAAGAGAGCTTTGAATTTTAGACACATTCAGTATTATATGAGAAAGAGAATTTTTTCATTTGTTACAACTAGAAATACTTATTTACCACTTGGAATCACTTCCTTTTTTACATCAGAGTAACGTAACCTACCAATTTATGAAAAATACAGGTAGGCATTTTGTGGATCGATTTAGTCAAACTAATGCCTTCTACGAATTCTACGAATTACAGGAAATCGTGTCGCACGAAAATTTGCAAATTTTTCCTCTTACAACGCAAATAATATTGCTATCGCGTATAAACGAAACAGTTTGCTCCATGTAAATTCAACGAAAGAACTTTAATTCAACAAATTCGAACAGATTGTGTGGTTACAATTAGTTTAATTAACCCCTTAATGCACAATTTAAAAAAAAAAACCGACCAAAAAGAATCAATTTTTTTTATCTAAGAAAATACATATTTGGACCTTAATTTCAATAAATATGTAAAAAAAATGCAAAAATTACTAAAAATTCAATAAAAATAGTGGATAAATAATTATAGTGAATATTGAATCGCATTGCAGATCGAATTTTGTACCCATCGTACTGTTTTTCAATTACCAGTTACTATTTTGAAGGGGAAGGAGGAGACGAAAAAAAAAACTGAAAAATATTTAATTTTACCTAAATTTGTAATAATATAATAATAATATTTATTAGCTGAAAAATATATAATAAACTAAAACTATTCAAAATTTTCTTTTGTATGGTAAATTTCAAAACAAGGTGCAGCACATAGCCCAACATTCCTTATTTCAACATTAGAAAACATACCTTTTATACACTAAAAATCCAATTTACTCTCTATAAAAATACACCATAAAACAAAAACGTTTTTATATGTTGACACTAATAATATTTGTAAAAAATAAAAAACAATTGTCTTTGAA